TCGAGGCCTGTTTGCCTGGGCAGCGAGGGCATTGTCCGCGTGGGGTAGGGACCGCTTTGGGTCCTAGGGAGCAGGGAAGGCCTCCCGATGGCAGACAGCCTCACCCCATCCTGCTCAGGGTTGCGCAGGGGTCCTTGCTGGGGCCTGGGTCCCAGTGAGCTCATGTTGCTCTGAAGGCAGAGACTGTACCCTCTCAGCCTCAGTGTCCCCAGGGTCCTGCCAGGTGTGTCTGCCTGGGCTTTGCTCTCACTGTGATCTCAGTTTACCCACAGAGTCATGGCAGCCCTGTCCTGAGCAAGCGTGTGGCCTGTCTGTGAAATGACAGCAGCCACTGGGCAGCGAGAGGCCCATGGCGCCCACAAGTGCTCAGGCGCCCGCCTGCTCCCAGGGAGCGCCCACTCCGAGGCTCTGTGGGCCCAGGTGAGCCTCCTCTGTGTGCCTCCCCCAGGGTTGCTGGTGGCCTACTGCCACAGGTTCGACATCCAGGTACAGTCCTCCAGAGTATACTTCGTGGCCTGCACCATCGGTAAGTGCCTCGGTCGAGCCCATGCTGGCCACTCCGGCTCCAGCCCGCCCCGACTCAGCCTCTGTCCTGACCCTGACCCCAACCCCAACCCTAACTCCAACTCTAACACCATAACCATGACACCCTAATCCTAAACCGTAACACCCTAACCCTAACCTCCGGCCGCTCTGGGAGCTGGTCTCGCGTGGCTGGGCCTGTGCCTGGGTCTGTGCCTGCATCCCCCTCTTTCTCATTCTCCCTGGGCCTGTGCCTCCTTCCCCCTCTTTCTCATTCTCCCTGGCTTCCGTTGTTCTGTTCTGTTCTTTTCCTTTTCTTTCCTGTTTTCCTCTTTTTGTCTTTTTCTTCTTTGCTTTGTCTTCTACTGTTTCGGTTGTTATGAAAGTGTTTATACAAAGTGCCGTTTTCTGTTGACCGACATTGTTTTAAGAAATGTCCCCCCACCACAGCCGGCCCTAAGAAGCTGTGGTGCTTTCTGGTTCACGGGCACGAGGGTGAGCCACTTCTGCCGAGCCATGCCCTTGACCCAGCCCTCCACATGGCTCCCTAACGTCCACTCCCAGGGCCAGGAGAGCTCAGGCTGGCCTGCAGTGCCCTTTGGTTGGTGGTGGTCCCCTCACCCCTGCTTCCTGCAGCTGCAGGTGACCCTGGCTTTCCCCTCGCCCTATTTTACCGTCTTCATGATTATCCTTTAAAATCATGGCTGAGGCCGGGCCCAGGGGCTCATGTCTGTGATCCCAGCACTCTGGGAGGCTGAGGTGGGGGGATTGCTTGAGCCCAGGAGTTCAAGACCAGCCTGGGCAACATAGTAAGACCCTGTGTCTGCAGAAGAATACAAAAATTAGCCAGGCATGGTGACATGTGCCTGTAGCCCCAGCTACTCGGGAGGCTGAGGTGGGAGGATCACTTGAGCCTGGGAGTTCAAGGCTGCAGTGAGTCATGATCGGGCCACTGCACTCCAGCCTGGGCAACAGAGTGAGACCCTGTCTCGAAAAAATAATAATAAAATGAAAGAAAAAATAAAAACACAGCAGCAGAGATTTCTCTCTCCTGAAGCATAATTTGTCAAGTTGTCCCTGTAATTCCTGAGATCGAAGCCACTGAGATTTTATAGGCGCCAGACCTCTCCGTTTGTCTCTGCGTCTGTCGATGATGGCTGATGGACACGTGGATGGTCTAAAATGGACCAATAGGGACGCTCCCTGTGGCATGGCGTGAGAAATACAGAGATGAGTGTTAGAAAAAGTGCCAGGAGCAGTGTGCTTGCTGGACACAGCGGCTCTTTTTTAAGAATGTTCTAGTAAAAAGTTAATTTTCTCAGAGCTTTATTTTGAAATTTTAAATGACAGTTGCAGGGTTGGTACAGAGAACTCCTGTGTGCCCCGTTCTCAGAGGGCCTGGTCATTTCCTCACATTCGCTTGATTCCGTTCTCTCTCTCTCTCTCCACACACTCACGCGCTCTCCCATGTACTCCACTTGGCCCTCCCTAGCCATGGGTTCCGCAGCTGTGGATTCCACCAGCTGTGGGTTGAAAATATTTGGGGAGAAGAAATTGCATCTGTACTGAACATACCCGGATTTTTTGGGCCGGTATTCCCTAAGCAGTGCCGTGGGACAGCCACTGCCCGTAGTGACGTCGTGTTTGTATTTGTAGGAACCTACAGGGATTTATGGTTCGGCAGGACGTGTGTGGGTTCTAGGCAGACACTGCACCAGTTTACGTCAGGGACGTGAGCAAGGGGGGTCCTGGCAGCCCTCCCCTGCGGGTGCCAAGGGTGGCCATGTGCGCGTTTGTGTACTTACACACATATATAAATCACAGGCTGTGTTCTCAGGGGACTGGGGCACCGCGCCGGTGGGGGGACACTGTGCCCCTTGACCCCAGACCTTTCACCGGGTGTCTCCTGAGAACATACTTGATGCGCCCCCAGCTCGGTGTCCAAGGGTTTTCTGGTCAGGCACAGGTTCACCTTTGGCTGATTTTCTCATTAGAGGTTCATAGAAACTGCATCCTGGACATGCCTTGCAGCCCCGTCCGCTATCACGTCTGCCTCCCGCTGTCCTGCAGCTGCCCGAGGCCTGCCC